CTCAGTTGATAAAGAAAGCAATAACCACCCTTTGATCAACTCTCCGTGTACTGGTAAGATATAGGAAATCTACATACCACATTTTTTTAATTCTATGCCACTAATCACTAGATTAGATTTGAATCGTAGAACTCATGTTTGTAAAGCCACATTCCTCTACATTCCAATCATTCTACTGTTTGGTATAGCAATAGGTTAATGTGACATATCCTGTCCTCCTTAAAATGGTACTGTGTGAATGTGCAGGAAGGTCTGTTGTAGATTCAAGGTTAGAGAATTGTAAGTTAAGCAAGGATGTTCCTCCACCCAAGCCTTTACGTGATGGTAAATATTTATTTAAATGCTTGTGTTTTTCTCCATGCGGTTTCTTCATAATACCATTTCATGAGAACATTACATAAACAAGCTTTTTCTTTTCACTGCAGTAAATCAGATACTCTCCATTCTTCAGAAACGGAATGCTACAGAGACATGTTCTGATAATAACATGCAAACATCTGTGCTTTTGACAAAAGTACCTCCAGAATCTGAAACCAGCAAAAGACACAAAATGGAGTCTATTTCAACGAAAGGTAACTCCGGAATTTCAACCTTTTTGACTTGTAAAGCTTAATTGAATCCAAGTATAAATAGTTAGCCTTTCAGAATACAAAACTGTTCTTATAGTTTTTTTTGGGTTTATTGTTGAAATCTATAAGAATCTCATCACTACAAACAATTCTTTGTTTGCTTATCTGAGTTGCAGAAGCATCTACGGAACAAGTAATGGTGCAAGAAACCTCATCGGCCAGCACAAGAGGTTGCTTAATGAGTGATCCTCCGAGTTTCGACCTCGGAATTTAAACAGCCCCCTCAAGATTACAGAAAATAGGTAACTCGTTTTTTCATTTTACCTCAAGTTCTTCACGAACTATAGTTTTTTCGAAAATATAGTTTCTCATTCTAAGCTGTGTTAAAATCAAAACTAGTATGTACCGTGGAATAAGTATGTAGTTTTATGCATAAGCAGAAATTAGTAAGTAAATTGAATGGTTTATTCTCCAATTTGCGTGCAAGTTAACTTCAAAATGAGAAAGTTTCCACGAAATTCTCTTAATGTAACGATGACAAATTTCTAAGACATCTACATTTTTATTATGAAGCTAAATATAGATAAAGCTAGAAATAAGATGTAGCGAAGGAGCGAGTCTTTAGCATGTCCTACGAGTGCGGGTTAACCATAATAACCACAAATCTCTTCTACAAATATTCCAAATTTTCAACAAACACAAAAGCAGTTGAAGAAGTTAACTTTTGAGATAGATTGATAAGTTTACTTTAATAGAAAGATACATACATATACATAGGCAAAGAAGGGAAATGGCAGGACCGGCACAAGCAGCAAAGCAGTCAAGTGAAGTGCTAGGCCAGCGGAAGTCGTTAGGGATATGTCCGTTGAGAGCGGCAGCGGTTGGAGCGGTGATAATCGGGGGAATTGGCTATGTGGTGTTGTACAGCAAGAAGAAGCCTGAAGCTTCAGCAGGTGATGTCGCTAAAGTTATGTCAGGCGTCGGTGGTACTCCTGAGAACACTCGTCCTCGTAATTGAGCGTCTCTCTTTAATTTGTTTACTTTCAAATCATGGGATTGTTATCTTTGTGGTTGATATATATAGTTGAATTCTCTAAACATTTGAATCTTTAGGTGACTTAAGTTTACTCTAGACTTCGATGAAAACCTTCAAATTCAGTTATTTGATGTTACAAAATCTTGACGGGGTGTACAATAGTACAACAAAGTAGCGACGGATTTCATAAATTTGTCGATGTTCCTAGACGGAAAATCCGTCGCTACAGTCTATTGCTAATTGATAGTTTTCTTGTTGGATCTTTATCACACACTATATATAAACTCAAATCCAAAATTTCTCACTTATGCCTAAAAATTCAGGATGTGCATCCATAACTTTGTTACTTGCTATTAGCTCTTATCCAAACAGTGTTTGGTAAACATTGGTCTTGAATTTCCACTTCCAATTTGGGTTCGTAACGCCAAAAAGACCACCAAATGAATGATTTTTAAAAATATTACGTTTCTTTATTTATTTTTAAAATATGGGATCCAATGAACATTTTTAAAAAATAATGGAAACAATTTAACAAATCTTGCATGAATTACTTACAAAGTTTTCTTTCACTCATTAGTTATGTTTTTCTTTTTGAATTCTGTAGTTTGTTTTTCCTTTCTCAACTATTTTTGCTTTTATAATTTTTTTTCATTTTGAAACGAGTATGTCTAAAATTAATACATAGGTCTTAACATTCTTTTACTTTTTTTTTTATTTGTCAAATTCAAAAGAGCCAATCCCGAAGGATATTGTTTACATATGTGACATGATGCGGTTTGGTACAATATTTTCTTACTTAATCATTTATATTCATGAAATTTACTCTAAAATTTTAGTTTATGTAGTATTTTTCACTCAGTCGGATCTTTACCATATACTAAAATATAGGAATTAGAGTCTTACTTAACTTTTAGTGGACCATGACTCCAAATGTATTCTTTTTAATCTTATTATATTATTTAATTTTGAAATTAATATAATATGTTTATTTTTTGATTTAATAATTTATATTGAATTACCATTACTATCTTTAAATAAATTATTATTGTTTATAAACAGAGTACTTAATCCATATATATTAACTCTGTCTTCATATTGCAAATTTAGTTTTTCATACGAAATATATAATTTGGTGTAGTCATAATAGGAGAAATTTTTAAAAAGTGATCTGTTTGATGAGATCTCGGTAAAAGCAGTAACAATATTTTTAACAAAGATAAACGAAAGAGCTAATATTTGGTTCGTTTATATATTCCATTTATACATTAACTTGAGAGCTCCGGTTGGATTATTACGTGCCCATACTCCATCGTCTTGCACTTGCCAGAAACATATGTTAGGCTTCATACTCCCACATACATCATGTATAAAACTCTCTTTCCCAACAAATGCGTCAAAACTTACATGATGCTTAAAATCAGGTCCCTGAAAGATATATTAACAAAGATGATCACAACTTTTTTCCAAATAAAAACATAATTATAGAACGATTAAAGATCATATAAACATTAGAGGTTTCAATAGTTATTGTAGATGCTCCAAAACAATCCGTTTGTAGAGTAGAAGAAATTTGACCAACAAATGTTTTTCGCATGCAAAATGACTATAGAACGATAAGAAAATTCATGTTTTGTAAATGAATGCACTTGTTTTTTATCCACTATGATTTTAGCATAATCATCGTTTTCTTTTTTTGTGCAAAAGCATAATCATCATTTACTCAAAAACAAGACAAAACAAAACTATTCGCAATGGACAAGATAACAAATTTACTGTAAATATATACATTCAGATTTAAGAACGTGAAAGAATTTCTCTTTTATTTTTTAAAAAATTACCTTCCATAAGGTGCACCATATCAATGTCTTAAACCCAATTCTTAAAGGAGCTTTGAACACATCACTGAATGCAAGAAAAACAACTCGGGTCGATTCCTGACCAGATCTACACTGGACCATAAGTTTATTGTTACCCCCAAGTTGATTTGAAATTTCAATGTTAAAACGTCTAAATGTAAGAATAGAGTCTGTTCTTTGGATTAAAAAGGCGAACAAGGCAAAATATATTATAAATTTTTCTATCATTGTTTTTTTTCTTTCAACATGTATTTGTCTTTAACATGAATTCCACACATATATATATAATATAATATGTCACATTTGTTGATGTATTTAATTTCATTACTTTTGTTCTCTCTTATATGGTTAGTTATATCCTATCATTTATTTTTTATATATTTTTCTTTAAAATATTTAAACTAATGGAAACAAACAAACAAATCTTGCATAAATTTTTACTTGCAAAATTAAATTTCATTAACACATTTAGATTATTTTTTTAATTTATGTTGTAATCCTTTATTTGTCAATTATTTTTGTTTTTTTATATTTTCTTTGTTATGAAACCAGCATATCTAATGTACAAATCAGTATATTTTTTTTGAATTATTTGTTCACATAGTCAACTTTATTCATGAATTGAAATATAGAGATATTCAGAAAGACAATTTGCTATCCACTCTAGAAAAATGCATTATCCTTGAATATTAAATTGAAAGAAAATAATCGAATTAAACAAAAAATGATGAACCAAGTTAAAAACCATCTCATTTGGCACAACATTGAGTCTAACACTCACCATTATTAAGCACATTTCATATGGTTTAAGTAATTATCACATGTTCAAAAGACAAAAATATCAAATTAAATTATAGAAATGTAACTGAAGTTATAACTTATGATCGTAATATATCATAATGTTATACATAAAATTATGCCTTAATACGTTCATCACTATCATTGTTTCAATAATGCAAAGGCAATAAAAACTTATCTTTTGAATAAAATAGTAGACAACAAAAATATTGTTTAGTGAAAAGGTTTTTTGGATAGTTAGTAAGTTTTAATTTAAAAAAAAAAATAAACTAAATGTTTACAGTAGATTTAGAATTATAGTTATTATGAATTATTCGGACTATCAATAAAATCTTGACATGTCCCTTCTATTTTTACATTTGTTTCAATCATCATTTCACATGCCCACTTTTTACACCCACTCACAGTCTCACACATTTTTTTCTCTTACACACATTCTCTCATCTAATCCTCTAATTAATAGTGTGACCGGGCTAATAAGCTAATTACTTTCCAAAACCTATTATTTATCTCCAGAAAACCCAACAAAAAAAATTCACCCCCAAATCGCCGCATACTTCTTATAACTATGTTATAGTACTTAAAACATTTGTAAATTATATTGGAGATTTCAAACATCTGTAATTCAAAAATTTCTATGATTCAAAAATTAACAGAGAGGTAAAATAACAAACCCAAACATATAAAGTCCATTAAAAAATATACTTTGATTTCAAATTAATTAAATAATAAAATTTGAAAGAGCTCATAGCTCAGTGGTAGACTATTTGACTGCAAATTTAGAGGTCACCGGCGTGAACCTGGTTGGGCTCTTCTTTTCTTTTTTTCGTTTTCTAAAATATGTTACGAACTCCAAATAGTTGGTTAATGATATGCATATTTACCCGTGAATGATTTAATATGAAAATGATAATTGGTTAATGATATGCCTATAAAAATTAATATGGTCACGGGATTTGATATTCCTTCCTTCCCTACTAACCCAAATAGTCCTACAATAAAATTATCCATAAGTTGAAAAAAATAAAATAATAATGATGTTCCTAATGTAATAGCTTAGTTATTGCATAGTGCGATTCCAAAACTAATAAATGAAAATCAACCAAATTATTGGTTCATCCCCACGGGCCACGGGTCATATTATCTATATGTCATTATGTATTCATACATACATACATACATATTTCTTGTTTTATGATATGTTTTTGTACATATTATAGTTTGTATATATGAGATGTTTTTGTACATATTATAGTTTGTATATATGTGTGTTTCTATAAGTACAATATAAAAAATCACTTATAGTCTATCCCCGAAGATATTCAGTTGAAATATTTGCTATATTGCTGGCATTTTTTATAAGAATTTTATCTAGAACGCAAGAGAACAAAAAAAGAAAAAAATTAGAAAAAAAATGAGTTATAAAGGATGAGGATAAGGTAGTAGTATTATGCACAGCGCGGAGTATCACATGCAAGTAGTGAGATTAAGAGACAACAAAGAGACTGTTTGATCAATCCTTGTCTGAGAGTTACTCTCTCTTTAGTATTTATAAACCTATCTTGAACCAAAAACAATCAAATCAAACTCAAAATTTAGTTTTAAACTCTCTGTTTCTTTCTTATTTTTTCTTCATTTTTAGTTGCTGTGAAGATGGGGAATTGTTCGCAAAGAGCAGTATCTGATGGTGGTGGTTCGGTTACCGTAATTGCGACAAATTCAAGAAACATCCTGGAAGAGTATTACAGAAGCCGGAGATGTAGCTCGTTGCCAATAACAAGGGAGAAAACACTAGGGTATCTTGTTAGACAAGGTACAACAAGCCCTAGAGGAGTACTTGGGCCAAGGATACAAGTGTCGCCGCAAAGAAGAAATGGAGTTTGGAAAGCGAAAGTGGTGATCGGAAGTAAGCAGCTTGAAGAGATTTTGGCAGTTGAAGGCAATACACACGCTTTGATTGATCAGCTCCGGTTTGCTGCAGCAGAAGCTTTAGTTTCTTCAACCTCCGCCTCTGAGATGGTCAGAGTTAAAAGTTTATTGTCCAAGTCCCGAAAAAGACAATGAGAACTACTTCTGTTAGGTTCGATGATTGCGTTTTTTTTATGTGGCTTATTTGTAATCCTAGCAAAAAGTGTATATAGCACAAACATTTGATAAATGAAAAAAATATCTTGTTATATAAAGAGTGTATCTAACTCGGTTTTCGAAGTTTATGTTTTGTGAAATATAGAAACCAACTGAGGAAAAAATTAATACATTTGGTTCTGTTTGACACAGTCTGTGTTTCAGTCTGATCTGGTTTTTGAGAAAATATTTAAAAAAAATTAGGTTTTAGCAGGATTACTTTTTTGGGGTTTGTTTAGTTTCGGTTACGGTTTGTTCAAATGCAAAAGATTGAAATTTGAAACCGGATCAGATGGTTTTGTACTTTGGTCCAGAGTTTTTGGAATCGGTTAAAGCGAAATGGATACAACTCAGTACGAGACACATAACGACCAATTCAAGAGAAGAAAATAAAAAAGACAGTTACATGAGAGACCTGAACATTCGAACAACTAACTACTTAAGAAGACACTTACACATGTTTAGAGATAAAGTATCACATGTTCTTCATTCAGACACGCGATTCCATTTTCTTGACAGCATTTTCGATGGCTGGCATGTTTTTCTTGAAGGTTGACCATTGTTCATCTGTTAAGCTTATTCCTGGAGATAACATTATAACATATCAGAGACCAGACATGAATCAAAAATATTCTCAATATGGTCCATTTTGAGTAAAATGGTTGTCCCTTTTTTTTTTATCTATAGAGAAGAAAAGATGAACTATATTCAAACCCAAATAACTATTCTCAAAGTAGATAAAACAGAAACTATTTAATGACTTTTACACAAAATATCAGGACTTGCACAAATTCAAAGATGTAATACAGAACAAGCTTAAGTGCTAGGTTAAACTAAACTACCATAAACTGAAAGAATCATTCAAGTCAACAACTTTTCGGCCATAATGGTTTGTAATCACCAAAGCTTTTTACTTAATATACAAAACTGAAACTTAACACACCCAAAACAATAACAACTCTGAATCATCATTGACTCCAAATTTCGAATTGTGAACAAAAATCACTTTGATGCAACTCTAAAGTGGAACTTGAAAGAAACATTTGCACATAAACACAGAATTTGGCTCTACAATTTCTGAAAAATTGTGATAGAACAAAGAGAGCTTTAAAGTACCTTTAGAAGTAGGAAGTTCTTTGCCATCTTTCTTGTAATACTCTCTGATAGAAACCAAAGCCTTCCCTTTAAATTCCTGAATCGTCACTCTTCTCTTATCCGATAACTAACAACAACAACAACATTCAAAATTCAGAACACAACATTCACTAATTCACAATCTCTGCTTCAGAGATAACACTATTAGCTTCTCTACTAGGCCACATACAAATCAAAATCAATCCTATCAAGCAAAATCAATAATCGAATTCGAGAAAAAAGCAATGAAATCAAACCCTGCAAATGATATGATCGCCGTCATCATCAAACTCTTTGTTTCCTTTACCACAATCCTTATCTCCATCTTCTTCTTCCTTATTCACTTGTGAGTTTTCATATTCTCTCGCTCTCTCTTCCTCGAGGAATTTCTCCACGACGCTTCGTACAAATGCTTTGTGAGATTTCTCCGAGAGATCGATTCCGAGTTTCTCCGAAGCGAGTTTACGAACCTTGAACTCTGTTATCTCTTTCATATCCGATTCATTGAGTATCTCTATCACAGTTTTCTCGATCTTCTCCTTCGTCTCTTTCTCCATTTTTTGGGGTTTTTTTCCGCCGGGATTTTGACCAAATCGAATTATCGGTGTTATAAACTGGATAAATATCGATGAGATTATCGCAATCGTATAAGCGTGGTGGTACTCCATCGCTCATTTCTATTTATAAAAATGGATAATGTTTATGTTTATCTATTATATTTTCTTTAAAACTGGATAAATATGGATGTGATTATCGCAATCGTATAAGCACGGAGATAATTCATCGCTCATTTCTATTTATAAAATATGGATAATGCTTACTTTTATCTATTGTTTTTTTCTCAAAACTAGATAAGTATGAATGTAATTATCGCAATTGTATAAGTGGTGGTAATCTATCGCTCATTTCTATCTATAAAATATGGATAATGCTTATTTTTATCTATTATTTTTTCCTTAAAACAAGATAAGTATGGATGTGATTATCGCAATCGTATAAGCGTGGTGGTAATTCATCGCTCATTTTTATTTATAAAATATGAATAATGTTTATCTTTATCTATTATTTTTTCCTTAAAACTAGATAAGTATGGATGTGATTATCGCAATCAATCGTATAAGCGTAGTGGTAATTTATCGCTCATTTTTATTTATAAAATATGGATAATGTTTATCTTTATCTATTATTTTTTCCTTAAAACTAGATAAGTATGGATGTGATTATCGCAATCGTATAAACGTGGTGGTAATCCATCGCTCATTTCTATCTATTAAATATGGATAATGCTTATCTTTATCTATTATTTTTTCCTTAAAACTAGATAAGTATGGATTTGATTATCGCAATCGTATAAGCGTGGTGGTAATCCATCGCTTATTTCTATTTATAAAATATGGATGATGCTTATTTTTATCTATTACTTTTTCCTTAAGTCTCTTACTTTCTTGTTAATTCTATTATTTTTTTGTTAAGTAAACTCTATTATATTTTCATTTTTCTTCTTAAGTTTAATATTTTATAACAATTTGCGATATTTTTCTTAGGCTGATGTCAGTCAAGTTTTCGATACTAATTACGGTGTCGTTTCGTGAATCTATTAGTTCACTCTCTGAAAAGTTTGCTTATGTTAACAAAGATCTAAACCGGAGTGAGTGAGCAAACTTTTTCGTTTGATGGCATTACGTTAATACGGTACAGACGTAAGCGATTTTCGTCACAATGATCGACGATGTTAGAAAAGTGATTGATATATGGACTTTCTTTTTTAACACCTTGATTGATATATGGATTTTTTTTTCACTTCTTACTGTTACATATACACATTATAAAATAGTTTTAGAGATGGGTTCAGAGACCATTTTCTTGGTTATTCTTTTTAGACAACCTCCATTAGTGAATTGTTGGGTGTCTTTCAGAAAAAAAAAAATTATGACTTAAAACACACATCTTCAGTTACATGTCTTCCTATAAATATTTTTTATGTTTTCTTCAAGATACCGAATATGATTGGTTGGGGGTGTAGGAGATTTATAAAGCCACTAAAAAACTACAATCATGTTGTACTTTTCTTATTTTTTCTCACAGCCTAAAAAATATAATTTTTAATTATTTTGGCTATAAGTACAAGTTTTTCTAAAACACAACTTTCTAATCTTTAGAAGATCTACATTTTTTTCTTTTTCTTTTTACTTTATTTTTTTCATTTTCTTTAAAAACATTATTATAGTTTTCATATATATATATATTTAATTTAGTTTTATGAATATAAATAATAGGTAATATCTACTTTATGACATATATATATAACTCACATTATTTTTAAAATATATATTAAATTGATATTTGTGAATAATATAATATAACATAAATACAATTTACTAATAATAATTCTTTTTTAAAAATACATACGACCAAAACCTTATTTCTACAACCAAATCATCCATTTCATTCTCTTTCAGAATTCATATTGCTTTCTTCTTCTGGATTTTGGTACTTCTCTTTCAACCCTCAGATTCACTTTCTTTTTTTCTTCCACAATTGCGGAACAACCGCAT